ACACCACGGCGATCACCAGGTACGCGCTCAGCGCCAGCGTGTTGGGGATCTGGTCCTTGAGGAACAGCTCCGTGCGACGCCTGTCGTCGAACGTCTCCTCCGCTGCCGGCAGCGATTCGCCGCCGCCGCCGGAGATGGGGAGCGTCGGCTCCGACATCATCCCGCGCACCTGCACCACCAGCGCGGTCACGGTCCTCGTCATAACCTTGAGGAAGTTGTACAGGCCGTCACCCAGGATCAGCGCGATGGAGACGAACACCTGCAGGCACGATTGCGCTGCATCACTCTCGAGGTGGATGGGTGGATTTGCAAGAACCCTGGAGCTCTCCCACCGTCTCCTACGTACGTACCCGGTAGCCGACGATGCCACGGAGGCTGCTGGGTTTGAGATCGGCGGGGTACCAGTCGCCCTTCTTCTGCTCGATGAGCGGCCACATGATGCCCCACGAGACCACGCCTCCCAGGAGGACGGAGGCGTTGACGAGGTAAGGGCAGATCATCCCGACGCCCACGTACGTCGCCGAGAAGTCGAAGAAGAACCTGCAGGTGCAGGCAACAGCAATTCAGTTGCGACGCTGACTGAACTCTGAAGCACAATTCATCAAGCTACTGGGCTTACTTCTGCCTGTAGGCCTCGAGGCCCAGCGTGGGGAAGGACATGAAGCCGCAGCCCTCGCCGGCGGTGTAGAACCACTGGAAGAAGCCCCAGGCGAAGCTGCCGGCGAAGAACTTCCCCAGCGTCTTCACCTGTCTCCTGCAGCGACCGTTTCAGGATTCAGAGTTCAGACACATGCAATTTTTCAGGATCGGAGTTACAACAGCATCTGCGTCAGAGAGCAGTGAGTTGAGTACTTGGCGAGCTTGGCACCCTGCGGAGTGTGGAAGCTGTTGATGAGGTGGGCAGTCGCAGTGCCGCTCGGGTAGATGAGCTTGTAATCAATGATCATTATCTGAACGCGCCACGATGGAATGAATCAACCGAGTTACAGTGACGGATGAATCCAACGCTGAAGAAACAAAGAACTGTGGCGGCGTCAGAGACAGAGTTGGTGGATGTGCGTGCGTGCGTACCTTCCTGAGGGGCACGACGGAGAAGAGGCCGAGGAAGCTGACGATGAAGAGGAAGCCGATCATCCAGCCCAGGCCTGGGTTCTTGATGTTGTGCGGGTCCCAAGTCTCCCCCGATTGCTCGCTGATCCTCTCGCTCATCGCGAACATGTAGCTGCCGAATCCTCCTGCCGGATTAATTGACGCGTCCGTCAGCAACGGATTTTGATCTGAAGCCGTCAGGCGTCAGGAGTCAGGACTATGAAATCACTGACGCCCCCGAACAGCAGAGCAGGAAAGAAACAAGTCCAGAGAGCGCGACGCGGACCAATGAAATTCAGAATTCAGAGTCTGGAAAAGCCCAATCTAGATCTATAAACGACGAACTGTCGCGTCGCGAATTCGAGGCCATGCGATGGATGCGGTTTGGCAAGCCTTGGTGATCAGGAAGTCCCGATCCAGAATACTGACGGTTGATGGACAAGGTGTGCACTGCATACCGCTGAACGCGATGCCGGAGCAGGCGACGACGCAGGTCTGAACGACGGTGTTCTCCTGACGGGTGAAGGGCATGACGCCGGTGAAGCCGGCCTGGGCGAGGAGCTTGGTCCAGGAGGTGAGGAGGAAGAATCCGAGGAGGCCCGCGGAGACGTTGAGCGAGGGGATGATCCCCGTGGTGAGGTTGAGCTTCATGACGATGACGCTGAACATGGCGCCCAGGAGCGCGCTCACCGCCAACGCCCGCGCCGTCACCTGCTCCCGCCACCCGGGCACCTCCCGCCCCTCGAACACCTGCTCCACCGACTCCTCCGCCTCGTCGTCGTCCTCCTCCTCCTGCGCTCTTCTCCGCGCCATGTTCGTTGTGTTGTGTGCCTGCCGCGGCGGTTCGTTCGTTCTCGCTCTCCGACGTCCGACCAACGTTCCTCTGCGACGTGGTGATCGTGGCAATAGCTGAACGTACGTACGTACGTGTGGCCTTGAAGGAAGCTGGAGTGCTGGGGCCTGCGTGTCAGTGGGTACGCCCACCCGCCCGCATGGTCGTCTCGAGTTCCTCACTGCGCGTGAGCGGTTTCGCCGGGTAGGTCAGTTGGTCAGTGACACCTGTGCCGGGTCTCTCGGGCAACTGGAGGAGGAGTTCGTCGCGGATCCGTTTCTCTCGGTCACTGTCTCGCTCCCTCGCTCGCTCGCAGCATGTACGGTTCGTGCTAGCACGGTCCTCGCGGTCTCGCATCCCAGCCACAGAGAGACAGGTAGTAAACGAAGAAACAACAAGAACCAGGCAGGCAACAAACGGTCGGCTCAGTGTTGCATTGCAGGTGTTACGTACGCGCACGGTGACATAGCATTATTGTTCGTACACGTACTTGCGTGTACCTAGTGCTGTACTGCTACTGGTACACAAGACGAGAGGCGTTGGGGCGCGGCGCCGGCCTCATGCGTCAATAAGGGTGCTCAAGGGCACTTGGGGCGGCCGCCGCGGGTGGTGATGGCGGCGTAGCAGGGGCAGACGTCGTGGTTCCCGGCGGTGCCCGGCGGCACGCAGTGGCAGCGGGCGCAGCAGGACCCGCACGCCCTCCGGCACAGGTTCTGCCGCGACGACAGCGGGCACCGCGCCGCGCACGCGCGCCCGCAGTCTGCAGTAGACGTTCGTTCGTAGCATTCAGTTAGTCATTCGGCAGAGAAGAGGAAAGACGATGGTGATTTGTACAGGAAGTAAGTATGTACAGCATCCACGGAGCTTACTGTTTACCTATGGAGCTCGCGGGGGACGGTGCAGGGGCAGGACTCCCCGGCGACACCTCCTCCTCCTGGCTGGCATCTACGGCGGCGGCGACCGCACCCAGAGCAAGGAGGAGGAGGAGGAGGAGCGCGCAGGCAGCCGGAGCCCGGCCGGAAGCCGCCACCATGGCTGTTGGCAGAGCCTGAGCGAGCCGAGTGACAACTCGATGCCAACAACTGCAGTCTGCCGAGCGCACGCAGGTGAGCTTAAACTGAATCGCCTCTCGCCCTCTCGACGACAGGTGCAAACCCAGCATATAAAGGCCTGGCCGTGGCCGTGTGGCACACAGTAGGGAGTGAGGTGTAAAGGAAACGACGCCGTTGATCCGTCAGACAACAGCTGGAGCAGTGATGGTTCCGGACGTCGCGGCTCGGCTGCACACGTACGATACGTCCTGCGTTTTCAGCTTTCAAGGCATGCAAAGTGCGGCGCAGGCCTGCTTGCCTCATTGCCCGCGCCGTGCTTACGGCCGAGGTTGTTGTTAACGGCTACGAAAAAGGCGGACTCCTTTTCCTCTTCCTCGCCCACTTTCGAGAACGCCGGCCGGGATTCGGCGATGAGTGTGTGTTGTACGTTTGCAGGTGGAAACGTGTGATGATCGAAGCGAGGCTAATAATCCAGCTCACCGCTGGCTGTATAGCATCTTTGCAGCTATCTCTTAGCCCATTCATATACTAGTTGACTCTTTACTATTAATATATGGTCTACTTGTCTATCTTATAAAGTTTCTTGATTCTTATGCCTAAGCCGGCTGTAAGCTTACAACTCGCTTCTCCTCCCTCTCCTCTACCTCAGCATACACCTTGCTTACATCCTTTTTATTATATTTGTTCTTAGCTTCATTATTATAAAGGCTGTCTATCGAGGGTGGAGTCTCTTTAGGCTTGCATAATTGGGTATTTGAGGGGGACCTTGTCTTGTCTAGATGCCAGGGGGGTTGGACAGCCGGAGAACTTGAGATCAGAGAACGAGCGGTGGGCCGGCCGGCGCTAGGGGCGACATCGGTCGCAGGAGATTTGCGATGCAACAGATACGAACCTGAAAGGGTGCGCACCTGACGCTGGATCAAAGGCCAGCTAGCAAGGCAACATTTGACCTTCTCCAATTCACGTATGTGGCCTTGATGGATCGGATGTGCTAAGTAGATGGACTGCAGACTGCTATTGCTGGGCTGAGCAGTTGGACTCCGGACTGTAACTGCTGCTGCTGGGCCACTAGGGTCTCACGAATAGTGGGATCGTAGTCGGCAAAAATTTGATCGCTATAAAAGGTTACGGCCAAGTCATCGGAGTCGTCAGACACCGACGGTTGAACGCACTGGTATCCACCTCAATCCATTTTGTGTTGAGGTGGTTGGGCATCCAAACAAGCCATTAGGAGGGCGGATGATGGTTAACTTTTGCCATCCCTAGGAGTGCCCACGCTTTTGTAGCAATATATTTTTATGTTTTTGTCACCTGAGGAAGAAGGAATACTAATGTCGTGGTATTTTCGCTGATGTGGCGTGACAACTCGGATGGCCAACATGGATTGCAATGGAAATTGGCGATTCTATCCATGGTCTTCTTTTCCACCACAACACTGTCATCATAGCAAGGGAAAATTTGCATATCGAACCACTACTAGCAAAGAGTCGCAAGCGACACCAATACGCAAAAACAAATGAGGATTATGGAGAAGTTGTATAGATGAGGAAGTAGAGTTTCGCACGAGCTCATGAGTCACGTTGCATGTCGTCACCCACCTGCTCTTCAGTAATGGAGCTAGTGCATATGAACCTTGAGCTCTTGGGCTCATGGCGTCCGCCACTCCTTGAGTCCAATGATCATGGTCTAGAGCTCCAATGTAGATGCTAATGTCACACCCAGGTGAAAAAAAAACTTTGGATGTCTAGAGATTGATGGATAGTGTAAATTAAAATTCTACAAACTCATAAATAAGAGATAAAAGGTTAGATACAAACGAAGCACTAATAATTCTACTCTAGCTAGTTTGTAAACCTAGGGTGATCAACAACGTACACAATTCTAGTCTCAAAGCCATGAACCAAGTTATGTCACTAGAAATGAAGAGACTAGCTCGGTTCACTCCCTAGGATGACAAACCCTAATACCTCTACTATAGGAATTGAGTAAGCACAATGTAAAGTGTAATAGTAGAGTGATCAAGTGAGATGGCACACAAGGGAGGACATAAAGATATACCCCATGGTAAGGGGGGGGGTTCTCGGTCACCAACATCCACGTTAAGGTAATCCCAAGGATTATTGCTCCTCTAACAAGTCAACAAATCCACACTTGATCTTGAGCCGGCTCGATTTCAAGGTGCTATCCAAGCCTCATTTTTTCACTTCGTCGTCTCCTCTGTATGGGGTGAACCCAATAACACCTCACAATTTACATACGGGGCATGTCACAATCGATGGACGCGAGAGGAATGATGAGAAATCGGTGTCTCTGATATCAATATTGTTAGCAACAGCTAGGCTGGGGGAAGGGGGGTTCGGATGGAGAATTTGGGAATCGAGGAAGACAAACAATAAGTAGAGGCAAAAGGAAGATAGCGAGGACAGGATTGATAGCATGTATCGAGCAAATCGTTGCTCATGAATGTAGGTTGTTTCTTACAGTATTCTCTTTGACTTTTTTCCTCTGCCCTTTCCGGTTGCTATACTCAGCAAGAATTAATACATGGGCTCTTCCCCGCTCGTGCACTTGCACGCTCACATCCATTCGTTGCCGCTCAACAGAGCACTGGGCCGACGGTGGCGCGTACTCCTGAGAGGCCCATGATCAGTAGTCAGATTGTGGCCTTGTCGTAGTAGTGCTGGTAACACAACTCCTCGCCTAGTCCGCTAGTCATGCTCAGGCGAGGTCGACCCAAGATACATATTCATTCAAATCATTCGTATATAAATTAAACCGAAACCAGCCAAAATCCAAGTGAAACAAGCGCAGGCGACGGTGTTGCTTTGTCCGCTTGTCTCACGGGAAGGTTGCAGGCGCGTGCCCCCAGTCTGCCCGCCACCGCCCGAGCCCAGCACCAGGCTTCCTCCACGTCCACGAACCCGAGGCCTGGTCTGGCCCCCGCAAATATCACGGCCCAAGCGAAAAGCAACCCGGCCTCAGCCCTCGCCGCGGCTGTGGTTGCGGTCGGCGCCACGCGCAGGGCCGCAACAGCGACCGCCGCTTATCCGCGGCCTCATCGCCTCCCTCCGGCCGCGGGCGCCCCCGGAATCCCCCGCGGCCAATCACAGCGCGCCCCCGGGGCGATTGCCATCCCCCTTTCCCACTTCCCCCGCGCCCGGTCTGGCATCTATCTCCCTTCGCCCCGTCAGCGCCATCGTGTCCCGGCTCCCGCCACCGAATCCTCCTCCCCCTTCACCGAGGCACTCCCTCCGCCGCTCCTGTCCTCTCCTCCGCCAGGAGACGACGGACGAGGACACGGACTACCTTATAAATTCTCCCGCTTCCCGCTCTCGCCTTCTCGCTTCTTCTCCTTCTTTCCCCCTGCTCTGTTTCCGAGGGACGGCGGTCGCCAAGAACAGGCGCCGGCCGGCCACCGAGAACAATCCTCCAGCCACGAGCCACTCTCTTGCCTTCACTCTAGTGTAGATTTTTTTCACTGACTGAGCTCGAGCGTCGCGTTCGTGTCCAGGCGTGTGTTTCTACGTCCGCCGGCTCCGTCCTGTGAGCAGACGCCATGTCGTTGTCCCTAGTGTCCACGCCATTCGCCGCCGCGGTGCAGAAGCAGCTCCTGGCGGCGCCCGTGCCGCTGCACTCGTTCCTCCTGAGCAGCCGGCGCCAGCCGCCGCGCCGTGCCGCCGCCGGCGCGCCATCCGGTGCGCGGTCGCCGGCGGCAACGGCCTGTTCACGCAGACCAAGCCCGAGGTGCGGCGCGTGGTGCCGACCGACCCGCGGGGCCTGCCGCGGGTCAAGGTCGTCTACGTCGTGCTGGAGGCGCAGTACCAGTCGTCCGTCACGGCCGCCGTGCAGCAGCTCAACGCCGACCCGCGCCGCGCCGCGGCGTTCGAGGTCGTGGGATACCTCGTCGAGGAGCTCCGCGACGAGGACACCTACGCCACCTTCTGCGCCGACCTCGCCGACGCCAACGTCTTCATCGGCTCCCTCATCTTCGTCGAGGAGCTGGCGCTCAAGGTCAAGGCCGCCGTCGAGAAGGAGCGCGACCGCATGGACGCCGTCCTCGTCTTCCCCTCCATGCCCGAGGTCATGCGCCTCAACAAGCTCGGCTCCTTCAGCATGTCGCAGCTGGGGCAGTCCAAGAGCCCCTTCTTCCAGCTCTTCAAGCGCAACAAGTCCAACTCCAGCAACTTCGCCGACAGCATGCTCAAGCTCGTGCGCACGCTGCCCAAGGTGCTCAAGTACCTGCCCTCCGACAAGGCGCAGGACGCCAGGCGCTACATCCTCAGCCTCCAGTTCTGGCTCGGCGGCTCGCCGGACAACCTCCAGAACTTCCTCAAGATGATCGCTGGCTCCTACGTGCCGGCGCTCAGGGGCGCCGGCATCAAGTACGACGACCCCGTGCTCTACCTCGACTCCGGCATCTGGCACCCGCTGGCGCCCACCATGTACGAGGACGTCAAGGAGTACCTCAACTGGTACGGCACGCGCCGGGACGCCAACGACAAGCTCAAGGACCCCAATGCGCCCGTCATCGGCCTCGTCCTGCAGAGGAGCCACATTGTCACCGGCGACGACGGGCACTATGTCGCCGTCATCATGGAGCTCGAGGCCAGGGGCGCCAAGGTCATACCCATCTTCGCCGGCGGCCTCGACTTCTCCGGGCCCACCCAGCGCTACCTGGTCGACCCAGTCACCGGCAAGCCGTTCGTGAACGCCGTGGTGTCTCTCACCGGGTTCGCGCTCGTCGGCGGGCCGGCGAGGCAGGACCACCCCAAGGCCATTGCAGCGTTGCAGAAGCTCGACGTGCCGTACATTGTCGCGCTCCCGCTCGTGTTCCAGACCACGGAGGAGTGGCTCAACAGCACCTTGGGGCTTCACCCCATTCAGGTGGCGCTGCAGGTGGCGCTGCCGGAGCTCGACGGTGGGATGGAGCCCATCGTATTCGCCGGCAGGGACCCCAGGACAGGCAAGCCCCATTCCATTTCTCTCATTCCCCGACAACATATGTCTGTATTTTTCTAATTTCTGGGACACCTGTACTTAATCTGAATTGTGATGAACTTGATGCAGGGAAATCACATGCATTGCACAAGAGAGTGGAGCAGCTCTGCACTAGAGCCATCAGATGGGCACAACTGAAGAGGAAAACTAAGGTGTGCCTGTGGTTCCCCTACAAGTTACTGTATACTTCTTATTAGTTCTCTAATTTTGGCAGCAATCCCCCCCCCCTAGATTACATGTTAGAGGCTTTTACTTGTATGACATTATAAAAGTTGGTAATTATCCACAAGCCATTAAAAAACTTGAGTTCTCATAGGTACCACTACTCTGAACTCTTTTGCCCTCCACGCCACTTCTGTCAGATTTGGCTCTAATGGTATCAAACTACGGGTGTGAAAAGTTGAAAATACCCTCGAATTCTAAATATGCAATTAATTTTTTAGCATCTTAATGATCTCAATGAAAAAACTCAAAACTAGAAGTTGTAGATCTCGTCGAGATCTACAATATTTTATAAAAATTATCTTCATTTGATTCCGTACAATAAATGTGATTTTTCTAAGACATTAATTATATCAAATCATTTTTTTTTTACTAAATTAAATGAAGATAATTTTTATACAAAAATTGTAGATACTGTCGAGATCTACAACTTTCTAGTTTTGAGTTTTTTCATTTGAGGTCATTAAGATGCCCAAAAAATTAATTGCATATTCGCACTTTAGGTATTTTTGACTTTTCACAATCATGGTTTGACAATCCGTTAGAGCCAAATTTGACGGAAGTGGATGGAAAAAAAAAGAGTTCACAAGAGCGATGACCTTTGTGAGAACTCAACTTTTTAATGGCCTATAGATAATTATCAACTTTATAATAACACGTGAGTAAAAGCCTCCACATGTTAACTGAACATACTAGCTCTGTTACTTCACTAGTCAAGCTGAAGGCTACTGGAAACGAAGAATTTGTTATACTCTAGACCAATGTCATTCTAGGTTACATGTTAATTAACCAACGGTGATAGTACGAAATGCTTCAATCCTGCTACTATATCATAGATTTCAGTTTGATAGTGAAGTTGTTGAGCTGAAAACCATAACTGAAGTTTTTGTTTTTTCATAGATACGCAATGCCACAAGCTTGCTATGATAATAATATTCTCAAGACAGCCCATTATTAATAAATTATACTAGATGACAATCTATAGCTTCCAACTTACTCAAGGCCAAATCTTTCAAAATGAAGAATCTATAGTAAAAGGGCAGAATTCAATACTTTGGGTGCGCAATTCTTGTTTCCATCGATGTGGCCATTTCATTAGTGAAAGACTAAAAGCTCTGCACTTTCATGACATGCTGTTCATCAGCTGAAAAATACTGTTACTGAATACTGAGCAATCAGTCCCTGTATGCATAAGTTCCAAAATTAACCTTTTCTTTTGTCTGTCTGCCTGTTTCCAGGAGGAGAAGAAACTGGCAATCACTGTTTTCAGTTTCCCACCTGACAAGGGCAACGTGGGGACTGCAGCATATCTGAATGTGTTCAACTCCATCTACTCTGTGCTGTCAGACCTCAAGAAGGACGGCTACAACGTTGACGGTCTCCCAGACACACCTGAAGCCCTCATCGAGGAGGTGATCCATGACAAGGAGGCTCAATTCAACAGCCCCAACCTGAATGTGGTTTACCGGATGAATGTGCGGGAGTACCAGGCACTCACCTCCTATGCCTCCTTGCTGGAGGAGAACTGGGGGAAGCCACCTGGGCACCTCAACTCTGATGGCGAGAACCTCCTTGTCTATGGGAAGCAGTATGGCAATGTCTTCATCGGAGTGCAGCCCACTTTCGGGTACGAAGGCGATCCGATGCGGCTTCTGTTCTCAAAGTCTGCCAGCCCTCACCATGGCTTTGCAGCATACTACACCTTTGTTGAGAAGATCTTCCAGGCCGATGCTGTTCTGCACTTTGGAACACACGGGTCCCTGGAGTTCATGCCTGGCAAGCAGGTTGGGATGAGTGATGCTTGCTACCCTGACAGTCTCATTGGCAACATCCCCAACATCTACTACTATGCTGCAAACAACCCATCAGAGGCCACAGTTGCCAAACGCCGGAGCTATGCAATTACCATCAGCTACCTGACCCCGCCGGCTGAGAATGCCGGTCTCTACAAGGGGCTCAAGCAGCTGTCAGAGCTCATCTCCTCTTACCAGTCTCTCAAGGACACCGGGCGTGGTACTCAGATTGTGAGCTCAATCATCAGCACCGCAAAGCAGTGCAACCTTGACAAGGATGTCCCACTGCCCGAGGAAGGGGAGGAGCTCCCACCAAATGAACGTGACCTGGTCGTTGGAAAGGTGTACGCCAAGATCATGGAGATAGAGTCACGGCTCCTTCCCTGTGGTCTACATGTGATCGGCGAGCCACCGAGCGCCATCGAGGCTGTGGCCACACTGGTGAACATAGCTGCCCTTGACCGCCCGGAGGATGGCATAACCTCACTGCCCGGCATACTTGCTGCCACAGTGGGCAGGGAGATTGAAGATGTGTACAGGGGAAGTGACAAGGGCATACTGGCTGACGTCGAGCTTTTGAGGCAGATAACTGAAGCTTCGCGTGGCGCCATCACCGCCTTTGTTGAGAAGACCACAAACAGCAAAGGGCAAGTCGTCAATGTTGCCAACAACCTCAGTAACATACTTGGTTTCGGTCTGTCGGAACCATGGGTGCAGTACCTGTCCACGACCAAGTTCATCAGGGCAGACAGAGAGAAGCTGAGGGTTCTGTTTGGATTCCTGGGTGAGTGCTTGAAGCTCGTCGTGCAAGACAATGAGCTGGGCAGCTTGAAGCTCGCCCTCGACGGAAGCTATGTGGAGCCTGGCCCTGGCGGTGACCCGATCCGGAACCCGAAGGTGCTCCCGACAGGGAAGAACATCCATGCTCTTGACCCACAGTCCATCCCAACCACAGCTGCCATGAAGAGCGCCAAGATCGTCGTCGACCGTCTCCTGGAGAGGCAGAAGGCCGACAATGGCGGCAAGTACCCTGAGACAGTTGCACTTGTCTTGTGGGGCACCGACAACATCAAGACCTATGGCGAGTCATTGGCCCAGGTGCTGTGGATGATTGGTGTCCGGCCAGTTGCTGACACCTTCGGCCGTGTCAACCGTGTGGAGCCTGTCAGCCTCGAGGAGCTTGGACGTCCAAGGATTGACGTCGTCGTCAATTGCTCGGGTGTCTTCAGAGACCTTTTCATCAACCAGGTATGAATTCAAACATCAGTGCCTTTGATCTTTGTACATAATTTGCATAGATACATTACTGCACTGATTGAACCGAATAATTTACTCATGGAACAATGCAATGCCTGCAGATGAACCTGCTGGACCGGGCGGTGAAGATGGTCGCCGAACTGGACGAGCCAGCAGAGATGAACTACGTGCGCAAGCATGCGCAGGAGCAGGCAGAGGAGCTCGGCGTCTCGCTGAGAGAGGCGGCAACAAGGGTGTTCTCGAACGCATCAGGCTCCTACTCGTCCAACGTGAACCTGGCGGTGGAGAACGCGTCATGGACCGACGAGAAGCAGCTCCAGGACATGTACCTGAGCCGCAAGTCGTTCGCGTTCGACAGCGACGCTCCGGGGGCAGACATGAAGGAGAAGCGCAAGGCGTTCGAGCTCGCTCTGGCGACGGCGGACGCCACGTTCCAGAACCTCGACTCGTCGGAGATCTCGCTGACGGACGTGAGCCACTACTTCGACTCGGACCCGACGAAGCTCGTGCAGGGCCTGCGCAAGGACGGCCGGGCGCCGTCATCGTACATAGCCGACACCACCACGGCGAACGCCCAGGTGAGGACGCTGTCGGAGACGGTGCGCCTCGACGCGAGGACCAAGCTGCTGAACCCCAAGTGGTACGAGGGGATGATGAAGAGCGGGTACGAGGGGGTCAGGGAGATCGAGAAGCGGCTCACCAATACCGTTGGATGGAGCGCGACGTCTGGGCAGGTCGACAACTGGGTCTACGAGGAGGCCAACTCCACGTTCATCGAAGACGAGGCGATGAGGAAGAGGCTCATGGAGACCAACCCCAATTCGTTCAGGAAGCTGGTGCAGACCTTCTTGGAAGCCAGTGGCAGAGGCTACTGGGAGACATCGGAGGAGAACCTGGACAGGCTCCGGGAGCTCTACTCGGAGGTTGAAGACAAGATTGAGGGGATTGACAGGTAAATTGATTTGCCAGATCGGTCGGTCGGTTCCAGCGTTCAAACAATAACGAGCTTGGAACTCTTGTGTCTCATCGAGACACTTGTACAGTGTTGTACAATATGTGTGTGATTTATATAAACTTGTAACATGCAATACTGGAGGATACAATCTTTAACAGAGAGGGTGGAGGTGATTGGAAAGAAGCATGAGTTGAAGAAGCGAGGATGTTTTGTGTAGAGAGGGGGTTTTTTCGCTCACTTGTAACTTGTTTTATTCACATAGACCGAGTCACAGAGATGAGTATATATCAGCCTCATGACCTGCCTTTGAAATATCACTTGTTCTTTCAGTTCACATGCTTCTATCACTTGTGCGGCTTGTCCTTTTGATTGTTTTCTACTTTTTCGATCACTATGACATGGGTTGAGCTGGTTCAATTGACAATGTCCCGAAAGAAGGGTTTGGTACTATTACTGATGGCTTAATTGTTTAGAGTAGTACATCAAAGAAGATCATTCCATAGTGGTGCCTTATCGGAAGCTGTTAAAACCCGCGTGAGTCCGCTGCCACCACAGAATTCGAGCATCCGTGGCTCATCCATGTGCTGACACGCGTCTTCACACGTTTTACATAAAGGCCCTCTGAGTTTTAGAAAATCAACCCTCCGTCCAACTCGTCCGCCCAGAATAGTAAACATGTTCTGATATGTTTCGAATAGACCCCTAAAGTAACGCAAAGAAGGTAAAATTCTAAAATCGAGTCGTTATTTCGAAAACACCCTCGCAACTTTACAGAAACCCCCCGCTCCCACCCCGCACCGCAGCCTGGCCTGACCTCCCGATCCCTCTCTCTCCTTTCTCTCTTCTCCCCGCCGCCACCACCACCTCCGCCCCTCCCTGTCCTCTCCTCCCTACGCAGCCTCCACACGGTCATCGCTCGAGCAAGGAAGTTGCGTGCCCTCGCTTGCTGCAGATGGAGGCGCAGAGCACGCGAGATCCGGGGCCTTGATCGATCGAACCTTATCGTGCCCCACGGTGGTCATGGTCGGCGGAGGAGGAGGCGGCGCTCTCCTCCCTGTCCTCTCCTCCCCACACCGCCTCCATGCAAGCTTGAGCAGCACTGTAAATCGCTTGAGCATGGGAAGCCGACGACCTCTAGGGCGTGGGAGAGCAAGTGGACCCCTCACCTATGGCACAAGATGGCTACCAGACTTACCGCCTCCTCCACGAGCGCATCCACGAGATCGTCGACCTCCTCCATACAACGCGTCGTCGGGAGCAGGTCTCTTTTTGCTTGGCGAGGCGGTGGGATCTATGGCGGAATCCACACGGTGGCACTTGGGTCCTCGGCGTGGCGATGGAGCTTGACGCCTCTCGGCGGCAAAGCGGTCCGGTGAGGTGCGCTGCAATTTTTTTATCTATCTTCACTTCTCTTTCTTACAGATCTCTCAGATCTGGTGCCACTTGATGAAGGTTGCGAGAAGAGCATGGCCAAACAACAGCAAGAGGCATTGGATCTCTGTCCCCAGCCGCTGCCACCGTTCGTCATCGATCTGCACTAGGCTGCCGACACCGCCCCTACAGTCCCCACTTGGCCAAATTGTCAAGGTGAGGCCTTCCTCTCCCTCACTCCGATTTGTATACAACCTAGGATAATGCAATGTTGGAGATGAGCTATTGTTACCTACAGTACTGCTAAAGATGAGAAATTGTTTTGTTTGTTAGTCTATGCCATATATTTAGGCATAGTTGTGATTGGAGATGCTTTGTGTATTTCACTGCTAAGGTATTGTCTTGCATGTCTTGAAATACTCTGAATTAACATATCAAATTTATGTAAAATACTATTTTGCATACCATGGTAGCAAACCCAATAATCTATCCTTACTTACATTGCCATGATTGAGTGTTTCAGAATACAGATGGCTGCTTAGTGAGATTGCTAGACCAAATGCAAATGTGGAGCAGTAGAGGAAGACAACATGCCAGTACAGAGTGTGGTTCTGAAAAGGTAGGGCAGTTCTTTCTCCTGAGTTCCACGGTCATATTTCTCATAAACAATGCACAGCATCCAAAATTTAAGATAAAGGGCATGGTTTTTTTATTGATGTATATTATCATGTGCACAAAATCACTGCAGATCCTTGCCATTTTGGTAGCTATCTGCCAAGGTAGGAGTGGCGTGGTAGCAATCACTGCTGAGCTTGCCTAGGCTGATGTGGGCTCGGAGGTCAGCTGCCTCTTCCTTGCTTGAAGTGCAGCAGCACCACTCTACCTACCTTGACGTTAGAACCATGCCAGAGAGCGAGGAAGCTCGGCGCCTGGTACCTGTCAGTGACAACAAGGATTTGCTGAAGGCTGTTGACTAGAAGACCAAGGAGCACTATTTTAGAGGTCAAGGCCGGATGGGGTACAAGGTGACATCAGTGAAGAAAACTTCCAAATGAACATGAAGGTAACATTTCATTTGATGTTGTCAATCATCAGAATAATACTTTACTATTATGCAGAAAACATCAAGATAAAGAAATAACCTTATAGTGATTTACGATCGACAAATTTATTTATTTAATAGAGTAGCATTATACTGATATTTGGATCCTAATAACAAGGGGCTCTTGTGTTCTTGCCTCTAAGTGCAATTGTGATTTTATCCTCATTTTTTTAACTTTGTGATTTTGCCCTTCACTACGAGCAAGTCAATGCGATTTTGTCCCTAGTCAAAAGTCAAAACAGGGGCAAATTCACTACGAGCAAGTCAATGCGATTTTGCCCCTAGTCAAAACAGGGGCAAATTCACAAAGACCCGTGGCAAAATCGCATTGACTTGCTAGCAGTGAAGGCAAAATCAGAAAGTTAGAAAAACGAGGGCAAAATCACAATTGCACTTCAAAATAAGGGGCAAGAACACCAAAAACCCGGTACATTTCCATTTTTTGACCTATTTCTAGCCGAGATGCAAGCACCCCATGACCGTGTTGCAGACACAGAACTGGGAAGGTGTCGGTGTTTCGGACCGGGGGGTCCTCAACCAACCAGTGAATTTGTTCTGCGTGCTCCCGATCCGGATGGTGATGCAAAGAGACACAAGATTTATACTGGTTCAGGCAATCGAGGCCCTACGTCCAGTCTGAGAGATCGATCTTGTATTCCTTACACCGAGGTGCTCGTAGTAGGGGGTTACAAGCTAAAGAAGAGAAGGAGCTGGTCCTAGGTCTCGGCGGGGTGTCGTGCGGGCCGCTTGAGACGTTGCTCTCAGGCGGCAGGAGTGTGCGTGTGTGTGTGTGTGTTTTTCCCTTCAAAACAACCCAGGTCCTCTCCTTTTATAGCATGAAGGGAGGACTAGGGCGGTACATGAGCTGACTATACGGCGTCGTGTGAGCAGGCGCGGCGTGTCCGAGCCTCATAGCTTTGTTCTGTGGCGGTGTGTGGCCGTCGGAGTGGTCCATCCTTGGAGTCTTGGGCGGCGTGGTCATCCCATCGATCCTGTGCGTCGTGGGAGCCCAGGAATGCCTCGGAGTGGGCGCGGCGGCGATCGTGCAAGCCCTTGTGGACCGGATTTGTCTGCGAGGCCGAGACTTGGTCGATCTTAGGCTAGCACCTGCTGGTGGGGGTCTCGGCGAGGCATGAACCCCAAGATCGCCGAGGCCCGATGTATGCGATGTCGAGGCCTTGGCGGGTGGCCGATCATGGGTGCAGCGTTTGGACACGATGTGGTCGGTAATCCCGTCGTACCTGTCCCGGCCGGTATGGTCTTGATCGTGGACACCGCGGTGGTAGGACACACGGTGGCCGATAATCCCCGTCGTGCCTGTCCCGGCCCGGTATGGCGTGGATCGTGAACCACGACACGGTAGGACACACCGTGGCGGTATGGCGACGCCGATGCGACCTCGGTCGCGTCGGCCATCTGTGGCGTTGAGCCACCGTCCGGCTGAGATTGCGGGAATGGTTGAAGCATTAATGAGACATGACGAGTTGTTGGGAGGGTCGGCCGAGGCGAAGCGACGGACCAGGGGACGAGCCGGCCTCGGCGACACGGAGAATGAGGCCTCGCGGCGAGCGAAGATCGGGTTCCTTGCCGAGGCCTTGCGTGAGGCGCCTCGCGCGATCTGGAGAATGTACCCTGCAGAGGCCTTCCTAGCTAGCCTCGGGCGAGGCGAGGGAGACGGCGCCCCTGCCGGGCTCGGCGCCCCTGCCGAGGCCTACCAGGGAGCCTCGCGCGGCGGAGTTTGTTCCGAGACCTCCTGCTCGAGGCTCGGGCGAGGTGGAGGAGGGCTCGGTTGTGGCGGTGTGAGGGCCCACGGCTTACCTTCTAGCTTTATTTTGATGTTTGCTTGGGGTACCCCGTTCTAAGGTACCCGACAGTAGCCCCCGAGCCTCGGGGTGAGTGCGTGCACTCTCCCTGAGGGTTTGTCGAGGCTGGGTTTATGCCTGATCCGTAGGGATTGGTTTGTTTTCTGAGGTTCTGGTGGGTGCGTGCGAGCGCACCCGCCGGGTGTAGCCCCCGAGCCCCTGGAGGAGTGAAGTTACTCCTCTAGGGACTTTCTCCATTTTCGCGTTTGAGTGATCAGTTCTTATTGCATTTGCCGAGCCCACAAGCGCAAGTTCGGGTTGCGGGGGTCTCGGCGAGGTTGCAAAAAAAAGGCCCTCTAGCCTCCGCATGGAGCGAGAGGTTCGTCAGGGCCCCCCTGACATTGGGTATGTCCCTCACGCTTCCTTTCGCTTGGAAGGAGGGGTGGAATGTGCCATGCTACCCTCGATGGGCGCGAGCGTGGACACTTTCGGTGAGTCATGTTATCGGGTAGTCCGAGTGGAGGCCCGAGCCCCGTTCGCTAGGGGGGCGGCTAGCGGTCGAGAGACACTCCAAAATGTACCGAAGGATTTCTCTAGTGGGTGCCGAGGCCGTTCATTGGGCCTCGGTGGCTCGGTGCCTCCCTCCTCTGTGGGATCCCATTCGGATACTTTTCTGTCGGTCTCGGACACGACTTAGGACGCCCCGAGCGACTGCTCGTTCGGGCC